GATCCAGTATCGGGAAGGTTTCGTTAGAAATAATCCCAAGGACAAGATTAAGACGCTAAAGTCGGTCAAATGTCGTACAACCTTTTACTTAATACTTGTAACAAAGAATAAAGTGCGTAGGAAAGGTGAAGGGAAGGCAAAGGGGAAAAAGAGAAGGGGGTAAGGAAGAAAATAAGGAAAGAGGGAGAAAGCTCACTACTACCACTCCGAGTTCAACAGGTTTTCTGCAGATTCTGTCCAAAGTCTTCAATCATTATACGCTTTATATAGTCTGGGGTCCGTGGGGGGGGCACGCAGCAGGGAGGCGAGGAGGAAGGAAGAACAAAAAAGGGGCACCAAAAGGCACGTGCTCCTTTTATATAGGGATCTTGCTCATGCGCATATCTACCGGAAGTGCTGCTCTCCTACAAGCCTCTTCCTGCTCTTTTCACGCCCTTGGTCCCTGCGCAGGCACATGAGGTCGTCCGCTTCCAAAACCGTGAAGAAGATGGTCCTCCCAGAAGATGGCGGCTCAGCAGCAATGTCGAGACAAAATCGCATCTGGTATTGCTTCTCCACAGTGAGGTACTGGAACAAATTGCCCAGGGAAGTTGTGGAGGCCCCATCCCTGGAAGTGTTCAAGGCCAGGTTGGATGGGGCTTTGAGCAACCTGGTCTAGTGGGAGGTGTCTCTGCCCATGGCAGGGGGGGTGGCACTAGATTATCTTTAAGGTCCCTTCCAACCTAAACTATTCTATGATTCTATGAAATAACTTCTTTCATTAGACCTTCAGTATAAACAAGGAAAGGGAGATGACGACCACCTTTCTGGTGCTGTTTTCCTCATCCTTTTCCATCTGCCTCCACAACCACAGCTGATTCAGGGGTTCCTAATGGTTACAGCATTCTTCTGTTCTCTCTGAAAAATTGAATTTGAAACTGAAGATGGTGTGGGGTTTTTGTCCATGTCCCAGTTCAACTAGCCTGAGATTAGAATTTTCAGAGTAAATTGACAGGTCTTAGAAAAGCATAATTTGTTTCTGTTAATTATAAACTGGGCTGTTTTGCACCCAGTTGATATGACTGCTGTTTCCTATTTGTTTCCTTTCCTTTTTTTCCCTCACTGTCCACTTAATTCCCAATATAGAGTACATATTTCCTTAAGGGTAACTGGACCAATTCCAACAGTAAGGATTTTTTTTCTTTGATAGCTATGAATAGTAGTACTGAATATCATTGAAAAGTTCCGTGGAGGGAGTTTTGGGGAGGGAGAGGTCATTTAGGAGTCCTACCCTGTCCTAGTTTGCAGATTTTAAGTTCTGACTTCTAAAGTTCCCAGAAGGCGAACAAAGTTGGGTGGTCGCTGTGGTCCTCTGAAATAGCCCACATTTCATTTTTTTGATAAAGTCAGTAGGAGGAGAAATGTTTTTCTGTGTTTCTAACTCCTTATCACACATGTAAGTACACTCAGCCTTAAGTAAATCTGTTCCCATGTTTGATAGCTGAGAAGAGCATCAGGAATGAGACTGCTTGCAGGTGCCTTCCCAGCATCAGCTGTCCTAGTTGCTGATTGGATCATTTATTTATCCTTCTGATTCTCTTTGATCTTTTAAAATCAGATTTTTCTGAACTAAAATGAATGTTTTTTTTTTTCTTAGAAATTAAGGTTTTTTCTTTATTTTTTAAGTTCATCCAAAAACTCCAGAAAAGTTGACTGTTTCTGGGAACAGCTCTACAAGCATCCATCTGGTTTGGTTTATAAATGGCAGCTTTGCTGAGATCAGGCTTCTGTGTCAAATTGAAATTAGCAGTGGTCACTCAGCAAAAACTGTTAAGTGTTGCTTTTAATGGAATTTGGGGGGGCTCAAATGTTGATCTTTTTCACTGAACTAATCACATTTCAAATTCTTTTCAAGAGCTTCATTCTGATCATCTTTTTAAATGATTCATGTGGTAATGACTAGAAGTTCATCTACTAAAATCAGAAAAAGTTCTGCTCATCTCCATTACCTGCTTTTTTTTGTTGTTGTTGTTAGTTTTAAACAATTTTGTGGAAAGTCAAATCACCCACCATATTATTTGGTAGTTGGAGAAGGTGCATAGTGCTTTATGCTGACCCTTTAGGTAACAGTCCTTGTGCTTTGTCCTTCCTGGTGCAAACTGTATTAATACATGCTTGTTCCAGGATGTGCTGCTGCCTTGCAGACTTACACAGTGGTTGTTTCAGATTGCCTCTTGCAGTCTTTAGTTGAGTTCCCCTCCCCCGAAGAACAATTCGTATGTTTGCTGTCAGCGGCTGTAATAGGGAGCTACTAAACCTGTTTGTATGTCAGTGATAAAGAGACAGGATAGGGAAGGATTCTCCTACTGGTTGTGTCAGTAGGTAATCCCCAGTGAAGACTTCTGCAGCTGAAGAGAAGGTAGTATTTCTGGGTGGGGTTCAGATTTTCCAGCATTCGGGCTTCCAGCTGCTACCTGGCTTGGGTGCTCTGCATCACTGACTGGAGCTACATATTTACTCTGCTGAGTGTCAGAGGAGCTTAGGCTACTAATTTGGAGACCAGCATCAGATGCTGATTGTAGGTGGTGTGAATATATACTCTTCTTCCATATTGCCTAACTTAGTGTGGGGGTGATCGGTGTCACTGGGGAAACCTAATGGCAAAACTGCATGTTCAGTTGGCCTGAGGTTGACCCCCAAATTCTCTGTTTGCACGTTCAGATGGAGTATCTCTGACCAGTTCGGGTAGATGCATGCTGAATTACCAGGTCTTGGTGCATAGAGCCTGAATTTGTAATTTGAGCACATTAACCTCAGAGGCTACTTTTCACAATGCTTGTTCCTCGGTTTGATTTTTAGCAGGAGTATTCTATTACCCAGTTGCATTTAGTTGCATGTTGAGCACTTGAATAAAGTCCCTCAAGCCACAGAAGTGATGCAGCTAAGATTGAACATAATCATTATATACATTGTTTCTAAAATAATAGGGTGGTAGTTAATGCATGGCCTATAAGAGTATTTTTAAAATACTTTAAAAGCACTTACAGAGTGTGGAAGCTTTAAGCTTTTATATTTTATCTGTAATGACATGTGTTAAGTAATACCCAGAGATTAGGCACTGCAAAGAAAACCATGGATATCTTGAGAATTAACAGAAGGAACAGGCTTTTAGATGTAAATAACAGCTCTGACAGATGAGCTGTGTTGGATTTTGGTGTAGTAGTCTGAGATACCCTCAACCACAGTTGTCTACATTTCTCCGCTCCCAACAGTTACCGCTTCAGGAGCAGTCAGCAGGGGAAACAAACACCTGAGTGTCACCTGCCTCCAGCTCAGTTAGCTTAAACTGCTAAAAAAAGTAGATTTGCACATTTCTGTCTATCCAGAGTTACACTGCTAGAAGCCTGGGGCACACATTTCTTTGTGAACTCTGCTACCAGGTCAGTCATCTAGGGCAGCGGGAGATGGTAAGGTCTTATGCTGCCACAGCAGTTTGATTCACTGCAGCTGTATCAGAGCCCTCAGTTACAGATACTTTGAAAGACAGCAAACAGCTTGGTAGAAGCTTTTACAGCATTGTTATGTTGTCTCTGGCTGCTTAATAAAAAACCTCCAAGAGTTTTCTGTAATAACAAAAGTAGTTGTGAAATTGTTATAGGGTTTTGCATGGCATTTTGAAGATGTTTTCAGAAGCTTTTCCATCCGTATGAGAGATTGATGGCTTTTTAAATATTTTTCAAGTTGTCATTTGGCTTTAGAAATGCACAATTAGTTGCAGCTTAAAATCACTTGGAGTCCAGGTTTTGGCAGCTGTGATGCACATGTGTTATAATTAGATTCATTAAAAAATATTCCCAGGCTTAGGGTTTCTTTAAGTAGTCATGAAACTGAAATATTCCCTAGACTCGCAATATTTTAAGAATAACAGGAGAGACTAGTCCTGTAATAAGATCTGTGAAGAGATCACCTGAGTAAGACTTGGATACTATCTTTTGAAGGCAAAAGGACTGCCTAGGAAGAAGACTTCATGATAAGCATCTTCTTCAGACAGTCTTTAGCATGCTTCTGTGCATGTGTCTTAGGAAAAAGGCCTTTGTCTACCCTGTTTGATGTGCATAGTGGAAGTGCAGGTTCTGAATACCAGAGGTGAAATCCTGGACTGCCTCATGTGAGCAGAAGTTTTGCTGCTCACGGGAGAGAGGGGGACTAGATGTGATAGATGGGAAGCAGCAGTCTGCTATTGTGTGCAGAGCTCATCCTGTTGAAGGCTGAGTGTTCTCTCTTCTTTTCATGCTTCACATCTCAAAGGTGCTACTTACTGTGATATTTCAATTTCTGTGCTATATATGACTTTAATTTGGCAGACCTCTGAAAATTTTTCCTTTGTTTAGGTGATTGCACAGAAAATATTTTCCTTTTTCATTAATTTCTTTGTAGGGCTTGACTGCAGCTTTTTTTCATGCTGTCAGTATTCTTGGGGAAAAATATCACCTTTTTAAGTGTTGACTTTCAGCATAATCTAGGAGCAAAAAATATATAAGTATCGTGTATAAGTATTGGACAGAGCCCCTGCTGCGGAGAGCTCCCACTCCTCTCCCCTGTCAGCTGAACAGGGTAGCTTGGAGGACAGGGGGCAATGGTGAGATGTTCCTGCCCGATGCAGCAGGCGCCGCAGGCACATCTGCCCAACAACTACCACACCTTCTGAAGTCCCACTGCACAATAGATACACTGTTCTGCAGGGGGAACTGAACAACGGTGAGGATGATAATCCTCCCAGGTTGGAGGACTCACTGAGGCCTAGTCAGACCATCCCCTGAATCAAAACTGGCTCGGTAAAAAAGAAAAGACAGGTCATTGTAATAGGGGACTCAATTCTGAGGGGGATGGAAGGCCCAATATGTAACCCGGACCTGCTATATAGGGAGGTTTGCTGCCTCCCTGGGGCCTGGATTAGTGATGTTAAGAGGAGGCTTCTATCCCTGGTGTGGCAATCCCCTTTTAGTTTTTCAGGTAGGCAGT